GAAGGAACGCTTCAAAAACGTTATTCAAGTTCAAGTTCACGCAAAAAGCACGTCCTTTGTGCAACTCGCGGTCGTCAGTCTCGCCCGGGTCTCTTCCCCTCTTTCCTTTTTCCTCTTTCTCTATCTCTATCCCTATATCTCTGCCTCCTGCGATATTTATCCCGCAAGGATGCACGGTGACGCGTGCAATTTCCGATGGAAGCGAGTGCCCGCCAACGTGATTTAAAGGTTAAGCCGAGGTTGGCCGCGCGGTCGGCCAATCGACCGTAAGGGCTCCGTGGTTAAACTTAAATCAGACCTGCACGTCGATTTAAGCCGGCCTCGATCGGTCGCTCGTTACATTCAATTTTCGCCCGTTCACCGGAACGGCCCCGCGTAACGCCGTCCAATAATACCGATTTTGATTCTCGGCTTTAACTTCAACATTGTCCTGCGCATTGTCGTTATTTATTACAAGTGGCGGTAGCGCAATCCCGAGCGTCGACAAGGGGCGTGTTATTGAAGAGGTTTAACGAGGCTAACGAAGATTATTATATTATTCTGAAGAAGAGAGAGAGAGAGAAAGAGAGAGAAGGAAAGAAAGAGGAGAGAGAGAAAGAAAGAAAACCATTTCATTGCTCGATATAAAGAATGTAAAATCAATACAAAGTTGCAGCTATGTAATATTTATTGTTGCCTCATCAGGTCAAGATACGATTTATATATTGACGTTATTACCGCACGCTACAATGTAAAAAATTTTACGTACACAATACGTAAACAAATGTTCCAAAAAGTTCACTCTAAATTTTGTGTCGAAAATAACTCATTCATATGTTCATTCGTGTGTTATTTATATTATGTACTAATATATACATAATGTAAATAACACACGAATGAACATATGAATGAATTATTTTCGACACAAAATTTAAAGTGGACTTTTTGAAATATTTGTTTATGTACTGTGTACGCGTTTCCTGAGACCACTTTGTACACTCGATCGTGTATGAGAAATATTTTCATATATATTTTGACTAAAAATTTTCATGAATTCCACATTATTTTTATTTGTGCTGAAGCTTACCCTTGTCAGAATATTCATATTCCAATTATTTATTAACGTCAATGTAAATTCCGACGAATTTGAAGGATTTATAGGGATTTGGAATCATATAATATTCGATTGTGTCAATATCCTATCTGCATTTAATCTTTGCTTATAATTTGAATCAGCAATGTATTAAAAATAAATTGGCCGTAGATACACGCGTAATAAATATTAAGTAACCTAATAATAAAGACCGACGAGTAAATATAATTAACAAGAAGATAAACACTTTCTTTTCGTGAACTCTAATTATCTTCTTGATAGCGTCGTAAGTGAATTCTTGACAAAATTGAAGATTCTCGAAAGGGATCCGGAGGAAGAATTTACGATCGCGGAGATGGCAGTTGTGGTAATTCGGAATTACAGAAAAATCCGAATGTGCACATCCGGAAAGTGCACACCCATTCGCGCTTGATTAGGCGGTTACGCCCTTCCGATAGGAAAACGTAAGGAACGTACATTCCCCGTTGCCACGGGTGACTAATAATCGTGTCGAACGGGCGAAATGCACGAGAATAGACAGCGAGCCGCGGAAATCGACGACCGTAACCCTTCCGTAATTCCGAACGGTCACGTGAAGAGTGATCGATGGTCGTCAACGATCGACGTAAAATAATAGCCGATTATGTTACTACGTTCATTATCATATTCAAAACGTGGCACAGAATAGGCCGCGTGTGCTGTGTTCTTCGTTATGTACATACATCGTGTGCGTATATGCACACTATTTCGGAAATTTCATGCACGATCGAAACGACGGCAATAGAGAAGCGCAGGGGAAAAATTCTGTTTTGCAAGAAGATGCACGTTCTATATTTTTTCGCGATATTTCTCCCCTTCCCTCTCCTCTTTTTCTTTCTCTCTTTCTCTCGCCTCATCAAATTTCAAATATATATCCGTTTTATTTCGAGTACGGAGAGCGCGGCATAGCGCTGTTAAAAGGAGCAGATTCACCGCGAGTGCATTTGAAAATTTAATTTTATCTTGCAGCGCGCTTCAAAGCAACTGCGATTCTCCATCAGCTTTCAAAAATAAATGAACATTTAATTTTCTTTTTTTAACTCGAAACAGGAAATTTTTTTTGAGAGAGAGAAATTTTCGCGTGAGGCATTTTCCAGCCACCGCCTTCGATTATTATACGCTCAATGCACTCTCAATGTTCTCTCGTTCGAATGACGGTCGACGTCGATAACGTTCGATATTACGACTTACCCACCGAGAACATTTGAATATTTAATTTCGTCTCGCGGCACACTTCACGACGAATCGCGCTTCAAGCGACTTGAAAAGAAAAAGAAAAATGGAGAGAAAGAAGAGACGAAGCTTCGTTCTTGCCAGGCGACGGAGATCCGTGCGTTTTTTTCTCCTATAGCCACCGCCTCGGCGATTATATTATGCGCCCGGTATATACTCTCTCTCGCACTTGACTAACGCTCGACGACGACATTCGATATAAATGACTTATCTGTCGCGAGAAGAACGCGACAATGCCAGCGCATTGAAGTCTCCTGGCGAGGCAGACGCTCTATCGTCCCGCTCGAATGTATCTGTTCAAAATACAATCCCACGATCCACTGTCGCGGCCTTATCGCCGCCGTCACGCGCCGTTAAACCGAACTGTGCGTTCATTATAATTATTCGCGAGCGTGGTAACGACTTGACAGTAACGACGATCAATGTCAGGAACGTCCCCCCATCGTCCATATAAATGTAACGCCCCCATGCGAGCTGAGCTCGCGCGCTCACGATCGAAAACAACATAATCATGCACGGCTAATGGCGTGCACAACCACCGGGAGTAGTTGCACGATCCTCCTCCGCGTCGCGATCGAACGAATTTTCTGTTCTCGAAATGCATATCGCGGCGACAGTGATAGCGTCTGTCGGACAATTTCGAGAGAGTCACTCACGCAAATTCCGGAAGCGCCGGCTCGAGTCGCGCGGCGCGCAGCGGTCAATGGCGTATCCGCGTTTGTTTATTATGGTGGCGGACGCCTGGTCGCGATTATTCACCTCGCGCGCTCTCTCACCACTGCGAGAAACACGATATACAACGCGCACGATATACAACGTAATGTTCAACTTACCGTGAATATTGCCTCTCGTACGCTACTCTCCACCGCGTGTCCTCGTCGTCCTCCTCGTCGTCGTCCTTGCTCGTCCTGCTCAAAGTAATCCACGACCGAGCGGGACGTCGGCGGTGATCGTCTAGCGGACGGCACACCTCTCCCGTACGCACAAAACCGACGCCACACGGCGCATCGCAACGTTCGCGACGAGATGCACCCGCGAAACAGAATGACAGTTATCGCGGACAGTTCATTATTGCCGGAGTTGTACGCCTTCCTGGCCTGCGCTCGCGTTGCTCGCGACTAGCTCGCGACTGCTCCTGCGCAACCTACCGGCGACGACGGCGCGATATCACATACTGCCGCTTGCGCCTTTCCCCACCACCGCGCGCGGCGTTGCCCCACTGTCGCCAGGCTGGCCAATCCGCGCAGGTCAGACGCTCTCCCCTCTCACTCGCTCCCGCCCTCTCAGTCTCTCTTTCTCTCTACGCCCGAGGAATGTTCGCAAATGCTTTAAGCTGGCTACACACACTTTTCGTAAAGCCCGTATCAGACTATAGATTAGGATTGAGATTGAATTGAAATTTAGACCAATCATGTTAAGAATCGTCGAATCGTAAAGTCATCATTTTTATGAATATTCGATCGCAATTGGTCAATTCTTACGTTACGTCTTGAGCCCGTATCAGACTACGGACTAAGATTGAGATTGAATTGAAAATTGACCAATCAGAGTTGGCCAATGTTCACCAAATTTGAGCTTAGTGAATTTTGCTCTGATTGGCTAAATTTCAATTCAATCTCAATCCTAATCTATAGTCTGATACGGGCTTTACTGTTACGAAAAGTGTGTGTGGCCAGCTTTACTACTGTGCGTGTACTTGCCGCAAGTGCACTTCTGACCTTTTCATCTCTCGCAAAGTTTCGAAACGAGTCCGGAGGCTTATTCTGGATTTGCAGCGAATACGTTAATGTCTTTTATTTGTAAGTTTAATTTTACACATATGAAAACGCCACGTACTCCCTCTTTTCAAATGGAGAATCAGAAAGACATAGAGTTCGCTGTGTGCCCACAATGGCAATCATGAATCTTTTCCTCCGATATGAACTCGTAGAAATATTCTGGTGTGAACACTTCCAAATATTTCTTAATTAGGAAATGTTCATTTTTCACGAGTTTACGTTGAAGAAAAAGATTCATAATCGATTCCCAGAATACGATCCGTATTCCTGTTTTTAAGTACAGAGTGTAACGGAGTGCAGCCGAAAAGAGCAGATTGACGTATGGTAAACTTGCCAGCTCATTTACGCTTCAGAAACGGATGCGGGTACATTGGCGCCCCTGACGTATCCCGAGAAAAATAAATTTAAATTTGCAATTTAGGTTTTCCAGAAGAAGGCTAATTAAATAACTCGAACAATTAGTATAATCATACGTTCGTCTTATATGCACTTGTTTTTACAGCTCTTACGTTTTATGACGCATATCAGCGAAAAACAAAGAAGAGAGGAGAACAAATTAAAGAGAATACGGCTGATGACTAAATTTCTTGTTTAGACTACATTTCTCCATTCTGATTTGCATTTAGATGAATCTTCTCGTTTGGTATCAGCTCATGAAAAATGAAATTGTCTAACTTGAAAGTATTTGTAAATGTTCGTTTGTTATTACGAATTCACACAGAAGAAAACATGTTCGCCTCCCAGAATATACATATTCAAAGGGCAAAGAGTGCAAAGGGAAACGTACAAAGTGTAGAGAGAGCGCACAATTGGAACAAACGGGCCGCAATGAGTCACGCTTGTCGCGGTGCTCGCCCAACCAATGCGGTAACGTGATCTAGAGAGTGACTAGTCCGTGGAGACGGACAATCTCTCGCGGAGGTTGGCTGAATTCGCGCAAGGTGTATTTTCGTGTTGGATAAGTGCTAGGCACACTGTCGCAGCGCGCTGGATATCACACGCCTCGCTAACGAGTGATGAAAACCACGCACCGCAGTTAAAGCCGCGCCAGCCTCCACGTGAATCGCCGCGCACGATCGCGAACGGTGCGCTCACCCGCTGGTACTTCCGGAAAAAATACGGCGCCTCGCAGAAATACGAGATCATGGCGGTGCCCAACACCGGTGTAGGTGAGTTATCTCGTTAACCAGGTCCCGGGTGCGGAAAAACGCGTGCTGTCGCGATGCCCACGACCTCGTCACGACCCACGTTACGTCCGGACGATTTCACGATCATCGTCCGGCTTTTTGCACTAGCGAGAAACGTGAATTAACAACACGGCGACACTCGCGACGATCATGAGTCGTCTGTATTTCTCTCGTGTTAGCGAATCGCCTGAAAACGAAATCCTCTCGCCGCTCGCTGCCAATACTGTTTTTCGTCGCGATATCGCGATTGATTTCGTGACCTCGCTGTGCATGTAATCTATTGTCCGCGATAGCTACGAAAACACAACGATAGCGGGAAAGGTTAACCATGCTCAATATCCTCCCAGAGCCATAACCTCTGTATCAGTGCGAATGTCTCGATTGTTTCAATATATTTACGTTACTATACTATACTCCTGTAAAACGTAACACATTGCAGTCGTGCCCCGAAACTTTCGTCTCTTGGAAGAGTTAGAGCAAGGTCAGAAAGGTGTGGGTGATGGTACCATCAGTTGGGGCCTGGAAAACGATGATGATATGACCCTCACGCATTGGACTGGTATGATAATTGGACCGCCTAGGGTAAGACAGCTTTCATTCAAGTTATTTTTTCCTCCTGCAATAAAAAAAATTATTTTAAATTTTATATTTAATATATCGTTTTCTTAAAAATTTTTCTTTCTTTCATTAAAACTAAGTTATAAAATCTACTTTAAATAATCGTTCCTCTAAATCTTTTTTTACATCCTCAAGTGCAATGAGATATTAAATTTTTCATTGTTAAATAAAATGCTACCACTGTGCTAATGGTAGTATTTTGTTTGGTTGCACTGTATATTAAGTAGGAAACATTTATTATGTATTAAAATAAAAAAATATGTGAATATAACATTTAGTTAGGCTTGTACTGATTTATAGAAAATTTACGAAAGTATACAGAATATCTCTTTGCTCTATTCATCTAATATAACTTTATATTGATATTTTTTAGACACCTTATGAAAATAGAATGTATAGTTTAAAAATTGACTGCGGTCAAAGATATCCAGACGATGCCCCTAATGTTAGATTTTTAAGTCGAATCAATATGAATTGCATCAACAGTGCTACTGGAGCTGTAAGTAATTAGTGATATGCATTTATGTCAGTTAAATATATGTACATGAGATAACATGTAAAATTTGCAAGGTGGATAATCGCAGTGTACCAGTTCTCGCAAAGTGGCAGCGAGAATACACAATTAAGACAGTTCTTCAGGAGCTTCGTCGTTTGATGACGTTGAAGGAAAACATGAAACTCTCTCAGCCTCCGGAGGGCAGCACTTTTTAGCCTAACCATATGAACAGAGACATCTTCCTTTTTGCAATAGCATGAAGCGAGATTTAATTAAAGGTACCAAATAATATTAAATGGGTGCCCGCTGAAGATGTATGTTGAAAAAACAAAAAAAAACAGCTTTGTGAGAAAGGAGGGAAGTAATAGCTTGGAAAGTTGAATGAGTGTACTAAGTTTATGTATAGGCTAGATAGAGAAATTGAGACAGTTTTGTTTGTCTAAACAAAACTGATTCATCGGAATTTTTCAATGAAAAAAAAAATGTAGCGTTCCCTTCGGACACTTCTCGATACTACGTTTTGCATGTACGTTAATATATTTACGCACGCGCATAAGCGCATAAGCGGCGTGTAAATCGTTTTAAGAAAACTTCGCTCCAGCTTTTCAAGCTAGTACGATGTAAAGCAAAAAAATCATATTTTGAATCATAAAACTCGAAACAGACTGTAAGAAAACGAGGTAATCGGTAAGAATAACTTATGCCTTCAAAGTTTTTTAAACGAGAGAAGGGTAACGCCTGTGTATTGTGAACCGTTTTAAGACTTTTCCGTTTGCGCGTAAGTGCCATTTCATCTCTTGCGGAGGTGTCTCACTCTCTCTCAGTGCTGTTGTAGAACAAAACAAATAGAAAACAAAAATTATAAATTCCGGACTGTAAATCCGTACACCCATTTTATGTTTCTATGCTGCGTACTGTTTCAAATCGTGTGAATACAACCAGCGATCTTTTACCAAGGCAGGTACACGTGTACACGTTGCGCGCATTCGGTTGAGAAATTCAATCCCAAAAACGGCCTGTCGCATTATACGATTTGTTTCAATTGATGAAAATGAAAAATGTCACTTTGTACCCGAAGGATAAGTGACAATTTGATTTATAATAATCCCGTATGACGAATGTGGTATATAACGCTGCATGGTGAGGTACATCAATATATGAAGCATCGTGGATGAACAACTTTTAGTTGCTGTGTTGAACATACGTATAAGCCGAAAGTATAGTACCCGCGTGTACTTTAAAATACAAAAGAGTTACTGTACGGACAATGCTCATGTTCGATCCAAGCTTTATATAATTGATGTATCATTATTTTTTATTATTATAATTATTGTATAATTATTAAAAAAAAGTCATACTTAATTCTTAACATACCGTGTAAAGTATACAAGCTGCGTATTAATTGTTACAAAAAGATCAAGTTTATCTCACTCCTTAGTGCAATTATAATGGTGAATTATTCGGACCATATTATTGCTGAAAGTGATATCGAGCTATATGCAGCCTATTAATGATTTCCGATATAAAACGACGTGTTTGTTACGTTCGCCCCACGCCCACACATACACACATACATACACACACAACACAGCAAGAGAATAATTATAAGTTATTTCAACGTCATTTGGGAATTGTGTCATTCAGTTGATCAAGAAAGGATGTCTTTAGACTAAAGTCAGTTCTACCAAAGTAGATTTCGGAGTATCTCCACGTTTATTGTTTAATGTAAAAAGAAATTGTTCGATTACCCGAAATAGAATATACATACCTCTTTGTCAGCTTTGCATTTCAGTATTACACTATGAGTAATGTAATAGTGTAATTTAAATCATCCTATTGAGAAAGAACAAGTTATAATTCCATGTGGACGAAATCAAGCTTAAGGAGAATAAATGATTTCCTTAGAAATAAGTGTCACTTCTTTACCAAGCCCGTATGCAGTACTAATTGACTTCAATTTTTCTAGAATCGTTACTTCAGCGAAATTGAATGACTTAATAATATCTTCAGTTCTAGATATTTCCTCGTACATACATCTTCTAAATTTCAAAATATACCTTTATCCGTATTACAAAGAACTCAAAAAACGGTCTCTGCTAAAAACAATTTGCACAAACTAAACCAATTTGTACAATACATTACCATACTAAATTCTAGCTAAAATAGTTACTAAATTGAAATAAGAATACTCTGTAAAATTATATTATATTCGTAAATGTTGCAGATCAAAGTTTCTGTGCAAATACTTTTGATAAAGCTTAACATTTGTATATTTAGAACCATAAATTGTATCTTCGAGAAGGACGGAGATTCCATATGTTTAACAATTTATTTAAATCAGACGATGACTCCATTCGGCATAACTATGTACAATGTACAATTTAATAGACTTGGTATTTATGACAAAATGACTGGATCGCCAAATGCTATGAATAAGTTTGGATCTTCGCAAAAAAGTCACAACTTGTCGGATACATTGTTTAAATTGCGAAACTACATCCCGATAACCAGCACGGTAACATCGTCGAGTATCCATTGGTTAACGGTTCGATGAACTCACGTGCAGGAAATTCACTACTTTTTAGGATAGAACATTAATTTCGTGCTTTTTATGGTAGACCATTTGTGTCTCTTGTAATAATATGAAGCAGCAGTGAGAATTAACATAATTCCCATTCCCTGCAAATAATCGATATTAAAGAGTTCAATTAGAATAAGATGCATATTTTTTAATATGAAAAGTGTAAATATGATTCATTTTACCTTGATAAACATTTGTTTTCTGTCATCAAACTCGTGATTCGAAGTCCACATAAGGAATGTGGTAATATCTTTTGTTACTTGAGAGGCAGTTGCAGGAGTACCATCTTCGTACTCTAAAACTTCATCATAAATAGCCTGGAAATATGAAAAAACAAAGTTGATTATTTTCTGATCAATAAAAGCCAATTTTTAATGCATAACAAAACTTATACAAAAAATGAAGTGCAAGAAAGTGAGAAGAAAGTAAGTATGCAAGACCCAAATATCAGAATCAAAATATTTATTTGATATTTAAAGAATGTGAATAACTTACCTGTGCCATACTAATAGCACCACCTGGGAAATAAGGATTAAAATATTGTCCTTCTCTTAAATGTATGCCAGCTGGTGCATCGAAATATCCCGTCAGTAAAGAGAATACATAGTTCTGTGAAACATGAAATATATCTTTAAATAAGTGAACATTTAATAATATCGGAGATGATTGTATAACTTATAATACGCAATTTGTATTATTGAAGCAATTGAAGTTCAATTTCTTTCCAAAGGAAATATAAAGTAAAAAATAGATTACCTCTCCATTATGCCTGGCGTTAATCATATAAGACAAGTCAGGTGGATAAGCACCATTGTTCGCTGCTCTGGCAGCTTCTTCATTCGGATATGGGGATGGCACGTAATCGGACAGTTTTCCTGGACGCTTGAAATATTCTCCGACATCGTCAGGGCCATCATCGACCTATATTATGAAAGTTCGGTATTTATTGAATCTTGCACTCATAAATATTACCGAGAGCTTTATAATTGACATTATGAGAACTTTTATAATTGACATTGTACCATGATCTCTTCCGCGAGAGCTTTTGCTTCCGCTTCAGTGTGCGTGTTATTGACAAGATGACGATACGCCACATATTGCAAACTGTGACAAGCTGCACATACGTTCTTGTATACCTCCCATCCTCGTCGCATACTGAAAAACATTATGAATCAATAAAAGTGGTCACTTTTCTCTTGAATCTTTCTGTCAATGCTAAGTGCTAAAAAGTCGTACCTGGCATGATCTAATGAGTTGAACCACCCATAAAAGTCCCATTTGTATGTTGGTGCATGAGCTATTAGGTCGCTAGCTCTTACAGAATTATCTAACGTGTAGATGAGGGCACTGATGCCACCAGCTGTCACTCCTAAACATGTTAATAACTGCAAGTAAAAGCAATGCAAATATTATTACTTGCTATCTTGTGCTACAGTTTATATAACATCATTGTAGAATATTACATAATAATATTGTCATACATTGAAAATATAGGTGGATGAATAAAAAGTATTTCAACTTACTATTGAGCATGCAGTGAAAACATATAAAGCTGTTTCTGACAGATGAGGGATAGGACAAGGTTGGGATATCTTCAGTCAAAACAAATTAAATTCACATACCACTTTTCGTCCTCTCGACCAATCTTTCACCGTGGAGAAATTGCTGGCCTGTGGAGATAACACTTGAGAAGTTCAGATAATAAACTTCTACTATAGTATCTTACAGAACAAATTTTTTTTATACTCTAACACAAAAGTATATAGCGATGTTGCAAATAATAATGATTTCTACTTTTTATATATTAACCAATTTGTTTACTTCCCAGTTGTTTTAAATTTACAAGTATCTCTTATATATTTACATTTTTTCTCAAATGGTCATACTATCACTTATAGAGACAAATTGTAAACTTGAATATATAGAATAATATCCTAAATAATATCATAAAGCATATATATAACTCTCTTCTACTTGTCAAAGATATGTCAAAGAATCTCACATTAAGAATAGATAATTAAATTCAAATTTTCAATTCATTCATTTGTTACATTATTATGACAATCAAATCAAAAAATAACATGTTCAACAAAGATTAACACTTCAGCGTATGTACAAACTATGTGTTAGCATTCAATCCCCCAACCCATTTGAAATTAATAAATGTACAATGACACTTGACAACACATTCGCTCTTGTAATCAAGCGGGAAAAATCGATGCAAGTAAACTCATAAAATAATTAATGACACGTGTTTGTTCACGTTATTAGTTGCTTATCGCAGATGTATCAGTCTCATACACGCACGTTTGATCATGGCAGCATTGCAATTTGCGGTATCGTCCCGCTATTACATAACATCTGTTAAAGTGTCGTCGAAACGTCTCGCGAGGTGAAAACAACGCGACACCGCATCCTTCGTCGTCGACCTGACGTCGCGCGAATATCCTATAAGGCGCGATATCGTAAGGAAACTGCAGTTGTCACAGCAGTCGACAAGCCGTACGGCGGTGCCCTGCGAGCCCTCGAGTAAATGGGCCGCGACGTCAATATCGCGACACGGACGTCGCGTCGACGGCTGAATTCACGCGAGGAAACACACGGGATCGTCTCGTGACCGATGACATTTGCCGTTCGCTTACCTGGCCGATCAGCGTGCCATAATTTGGTTTTAAAAGGCCTGATTTACAAATTCGACCTAACGTCGCCGCCATGTTGGCCAGAGGTACTATGTGCCAAGGAGCTAGTCAATGACGAGCTCGTCGAGCTCGATGAATGTAAGACAGACGAAGAGTCGATTCGTCGTTCCCACAGAAAATCACTCTGCGATTATTTCATTCGGAATTGATCAGTCACGCAAATCCGTTGCGAGTGATTAAAACGAAGCGGACACGAAACGGAGTATGACTTTGGTCGACTTAGCAAGGCCGCCAACGTCACGACAGGAATGTCGATCGTTTGAACTGGCGCTCGTGTGCCTTTCCTTCAGCTGCACTGTGTTACACCTTTGGGAAGGAAAAAGAAAGGAATTTCCAGGATGTACCGACAGTGCAGCTGCAAAAAAATGTTATAATCTATCTCTGCGGATACGGAATTTTCCTGTTCTTATCCTGATATTTCATCTCATGTGAAATAATATATATATGTGTGTGTGTGTGTGTGTGTGTGTGTGTGTGTGTATATATATCGTTCTTTCGGCTATCTATCGCATATCGTACAAATTATTTGCGTGAACAATTTCACGAAAGACGAGAGTTAAAAAGAAATCTACTATCAACTAAGTTATTATTACTCTATTCTAAGATAACCAGTAAGCTGATAAGAACTTTGCGGTTTTCTTCGGTTGACGTGATTATAAGAAACTGACTGTTACATACCGCACGTGATTCACACTTACCGTCTTCTCGTCGAGGATCGAAGACGGTGTAATTCGAACGATTTCTCAGATTATTCATGCCAAAATTGGTAGCAAACGACATCCTTTACGTTATATCGCATGTTTATACCATTTGAAGACTGCCGGCCATAAACGAGAGAGCAACTAGACGCGCCATCTCTCCGATGATAAGCATATGGAGCGAGCGTTGTCCTTCCCTCTCGTTATGACGCCACGCTGAATGTATACATTACGCGAGAGCGGATTACATGCTCAAGACGAGATTAACTATCTTTCTATTTACCTTACTGTCACCTTGCCGCGATACTCCGTCCGGTTTTTTCCGACCGTGGCTTGAAGTTGTCTCGATCATGGCGGCATGACGGAAGATGGTGGGGCAGGAGTGACCGCGCATGCGTCGCGCGGTTAGCACTTTTGCCAGTCCGTCGTCGACCATTGGTGTCAGCTGGTAGGTCGCTTCAGATGGTGTCGTGAATCCAGTAATATCACATCGATCAGCGCGCGGCGGAGAAAGAGTCAAGATGAGCGGTGGTATGCCGGAGCTCGGCTCGAAGATCAGCTTGATATCGAAGGCGGATATTCGTTATGAGGGCCGCCTGTTCACCGTCGACCCACAGGAGTGCACGATCGCCCTGGCTAACGGTGAGTATGGGAATCCAAGATGGACACCGCCGCGCATCATTCACCGCCGTCCCGCCGCTGCCGTCAATCTATCGCGTATACCGACCCCGTCTCACATTACGAGAGAGCTTACGTGTCGGCAACCTCGCGACCGGCGTCGAGCCTCTCGAAAATTCGACTTTCCGCGCTGAACTTTGCGCGCGCCAATTCGCGCTTTCATGCTCGCGAATAAACATAGAGGTCATTTTCCCGTGTGCCCCGCGCCGGAATCCAAGTGCTGACGTGATGAAATACCGGTTTCGATTTTCTGTCGGACGTACGATCCTAGATCCTCGTCCTCGAAATCCACCGCAGTATCCGTTCTCGGAATGTGTTGATTCTTGTATGCTGCCCGTGCTGTTCATGCCGCCGTCCGCGTTCTGTTCGGCGGCATCCCGTCGCCAAACAAGCGGGGTCGCGGTGACCGGAGACTTTTCGTAACGAACATTTTTCGAAGGTACGTGATTCTCGCAAAAGTGTCGTAAATGCGCATCTCCACGTGTTATCAGTCACGGCTGCGATTTCGATTACATTGCGTGATCTAATTCGTGCAGTCAGCGAAAACGCTAAGTATCCGGTGGCTATTAAAACCGTGCAGGGCCATTTCGTCCGCTTTATGTGTCACGCTTATGGTTACGCTGGCAATCGCCGAATTTGTATAGAACCAACGAACGAGAATCATCCTTGCATTCTTTGTTGATCAAAATTCCGTTGAAATTTTTGTTTCTCAACTGTTCATACAATAATAGGCTTTCCACAATAGGCAATAAGATGGAAGCAATAAGTAATCTGTTGTCCACAATTATGCTTTAAGCCGTAATAAATTGACCAACCACAGTCGATTATTTAAAAAATAACGGCTTAAGAATTAAAGCAAGATTGTGGACAAGAAGTAAATTCACCAATCACAGTGGATTATTTGATCATCAATTGATGGTGATTGGTCAACTTTCTTATTCCTTACATCTTACTGCTTATTGTAGAAGGCTTCTAAAATTTGTAACTTTACAAAATTTTCAAATACAATTTGCCATATCACTGATGTGCTTTGAAGATACTTGACTATATGTAAAGTTAAAGAAAATTCGGAACATTATTGTGAAGATTGTGATGAAGATGTAATTTTAAATTTCAATTTGGTACATGTAACGTACACGTGGAATGTTTGTCTCTTTCTTTGGAATGTTTACATGTCCTTGCTGCTCTTGTCCTGTTGGTATAGGCAAATGACTTTAGAATATTTCGTGCGTAAGAAATAAATATTATTCTTATACTTTAGATTCACATTGATTTCTGTGAATCTTACTTTGAGCTGTGTGGAAGAAAATTTATAAATATGAAATTCCTCTTTAGATAAAATTTATAAATATAAAACAAGTATTGAGTAAGTACATATTATATACATGTGTTAACTGTGTGATAACATCACACAATTAAGCAACAAGTTGCAATATCGTTACTACAACTAAAGTCATAGACTATTGAGTTATTGCTTCTTACAGTGCGCTCCTTTGGTACTGAAGATCGGGAAACTCAACTCCCTGTGGCGCCTCAAAATCAGGTGTATGAATACATCCTGTTTCGTGGGTCTGACATCAAGGACATCAGAGTTGTCAACAATGTCAGTTCTATACCCAATGATCCAGCTATTGTGCAGGTAATTGTTTTATTAAAATCATTCCTTAATATATTGTTTGTATAGCAACATATATATCTTTAATTTGACAACTCAAATGAAATCGATCACACTACGTATAAACTTTAACATAATTCAATTGCAATTATTTATAGATGACAGTTCAACCAAGTATGGGTCAACAATCTTATCAACCACAACCCAGTTATGCTCATCCAATGATGGGCCAGATGGGGCCAATGGGTGGCCAATACGGGGCTCCTTATGGTATGGGTATGGGAGCAATGGGTCCAGTAATGGGAATGCCTACTCCAGCTAGAGATCCCCGTGGAGCAATAAATAAACAGCCAAGTGAGTTGAGCTTGGGCTCTGCCGAATCCAATGCCATCTCTATCCCAAACTCACTGTCAACGGCCAATATCGACCCAATACAAAAAGATCAATCTCTGGAAGATGGTAAACTGTTTTTGCTATGAAGTATCCCTTGCCAATGGCATGCTTGCTGCTTGGTAATGCTTTCTGCCTAAAACTGCTATCAATGCAACACAAGTATAATTTTAATAGATTTTTTTTTCTTTAAATCTGTTCCACATTTCTCACCTTACATCATTTTTTGCATATTTAGTTTTTGATTACATTGGTTAGAGAATTTAATTCAAGAGCCTAATTATCGTAAAATTTAATAGTAATTAAATAAAAAATTATATTTTATGCACTTTAAATTTTTTTGTAATCTAACTTTGACGCATCTAGATTTATTGAAATCTGCTAAATGTGTATTGTAACAACGAATTTTATAATCATAAAATAACCCTTTAATAACTTGTCACACAAGTAATTTTTTTCATTTTATATATGAAATAAGTTTAGGAAGAATTAAAACATGCTGTTTTTATCTTATTTTACTTAAATTTCTAATATTATTTTTCTTTGTAAGCTTTATGCTTTGCTTGATTTGCACGTGTGATCTTAATTGCGCAGAAATTTTTTGTACTTATGCACAATGGAATTTTTGCATCTTTTACAATTTGACATTTTGCAAGTCTCGGAAAACATTTTCAATAATATATATTTTTAACTTAGATATATGTTTATTCAATTTTTGTATTTAGTTTAATGCATTTTTTCCTGTTCATTATTTATTTTAAAGTGAATGCATGATATTTTTGCATATGCATTTTTTATTTTATTCTGTTTATGCCACTGATTTTATTTTGTATTGCCACTATGACAAGTAACAGAATAGCAAGAACAGTAATAGCGTATGTTGATAACTACAATCCTCGAGAGATTTCTTTTATATTGTATACACACAATTCTTCAACAAAAGTACAATTTTTCTTTTGCAGTCGAAATTAAAAGATTTATGTCTTTATTTTCTTATAGCTAAATTTTGTTTGTCACGTTAGTGATGTACTGTGAATGCTTGTATGCAATAGTTGTTTTTTATTTGCCGTAGCTCGTTCAGTTGAAACATACTTTACATAATGATTTTACTTCTCTCGCGACAATAGGCGTATTAGATCTTATTAGTGGGGGTTCTCGCTCTACTACTCCTACGTCGTCTTTACTTACGAGAAAAAGCCCTACTATGGATCAAAGTGTTCAAGTAGGACACGAACAACAATCACAACAGCAAAACAATATTGGAAAATTGAATGATAAATCGAACATGAGGACCGTTCAACCACCTCGACGCGATCATGACAGGTATTTCATTTAAATAATAATTCGTATATATTTTACAGCATACAAACTAAGATCTCATTATAATAAGAATTTCAATTTTCTGGAAATCGTAGAAGAATATTATTAAAAATTAAAAGTTTCTTAGTATCGCGAGGATTTCTGAAACTTTTACTTTATAATTCGATTATCTAATTTTTAGTAATATGAATTAATTTACTGTTTTATTTAGCAATATGAATTAATTTACTGTTATTCTTATCGTTCCCGATATTTTTTATATGTATTTTTAGTCATAATGCTAAAAACAACACGGGCGTGTCGCAGTATAATGATGGGAAGAGAGATATGATGAAACAAGATGGTCAGATGCAAGGGCAAAGTCATCCTCAAGGTGGCCGAGGTAACCGCGGTGGTTGGGTAAATCGTGGAAATATGAGAGGTAGAGGAGGCAGAGGACGCGGTGGATTTCGCATGAATCAAGTGGGCAATGCCGTTAAGCCTAAGAATACGCTGAAATTTGATAATGACTATGATTTCGAGCAAGCTAACACACAGTTCGAAGAGTTGAGGTAAGCGCGAATGTTCCTACGTTGATATTCGTTTATTCGGAAAGGCATGGTCGTGCCGGTTTTGTTTCAAGTATTCAATTGAAATGACCAAAGTGGATGCCATGCCAGAGCAAATCAATGCGAATTTAAAGCAGTTCGCGATTATATTAAACAGCGCACTGCTTACGCATCGCATTAACATTAATTTTTATCGTTAAAAGATTGCTTTGGATAATTTATTTAGCGGTCGTGCTAATGATCGAGCGTAGAGAGTACAGCCTACATGATACTGTTATTTTTGACACTCGACATCTAGTAGGCGCGTGAGTGGGAGGTCGGCTGTAAAAGACAATACGACTCGCCGAGTTTTATGTGTGACATTCTGACATATATGTTGCATCACAGGTCACAGTTTGCAAAGACGAAGATCGATGCCGGTGCTGACAATGAGAAGAAAGACGACAGTGGGAACGAAACAGGTGCGGGTGAAGGCGAACCCGAGGAGGAAACTGAGGTTGTTCATTACGATAAGTCGAAATCATTCTTCGATAATATTAGCTGTGAAGCAGTTGAGAGGAGTAAAGGGTGCGTATTAATAATAGCAAATATAATTACTTCTACGTCTGCTGAAAAATATTAATATAAGTGTATAATAAAAAATATCACAGTTATAATATTATATAGTTCGAATTTTTAAATGCGCGTAATAAATTAACTTTGAATAAAATTTTGTCAAACTTCGAGATTCTCTTATTCTAAGTTTTTTTAAAAATATGTTACGTTAGACTTATTAGAACTCGATACATTTCGTCGATAGTCTGCTGATTCGTACAGCGAAACGTTTCATGTTATGTCTGAAAATTTTCCAGGCGATTCCAACGTACAGATTGGAGAACAGAACGAAAGCTGAATTCGGAAACATTTGGTGTGGCTTCCACAAGACGTGGCGGGTTCCGCGGACGTGGTTATTACAATCGCGGAATGGGAGGCATGTACAGAGGCGGTGGCGGCGGTGGTGGTGGCGGCGGCGGCGGCGGTAATATTGGTTTCCGCGGTGGCTATCGAGGTACCAGAGGCGGTAATCGCAAACCTGGTAATCAATTACAAAATAACACGGGGAGCCAAAATCGTGTGACCAGCGAACAGTCTGCCTCTCAATCGCAGCCGAATGTAATCTAAAAAAAAAAAAAGAAAGAGAAAAAAAAATTAATTTGTCACTGGTACGGCGTAGGTATAATAATGGCATGCCGAAAAACTATGCGATGTGCTGCTATGTATAAGTATTCTATATATTAAGATTTTTACCGATATATGCTCCACCGTTATGGACTGATTTGGGTTCGAATTTGGCAACCGCATAACGGAAGTATATACAGAAATCGGATTTAATGTAGATTATTTTAGAACGGAGCGCGTTTGCAATCGAACCGGTGATTACGTGTGGCGTTTAAGTGACGAGAATCGCACATGTGGATGCTGTGTTGGCGCATATGACTTTTTGCATCGATATTTTGCGGCTAAATGATCGAAGAAGGTACTTTTAGAGACAAATCTTTTCTTACCGCTTAGTCGACAATGATCATGGTGAATTTAGGTTACGAGACGATTTTCGTCTGGAAAGCGGAGTCAATTACAGGCAGATAATGATTTCTTCTTTCTTTTTTACGCTGATACGTAATTATGGATTAGTAAAAGATTCCAGGAACTACGTTAACCTGTCAATACGTGAGTCTAACATCTGTTAAGTCGTTGAATGCTAAATTCGATTGTGATCATTCTTCAGTACGGTTTTCTCAATACATGACTATGAGCAATTATGGAGTGGCTTTACGATAATGGTGACTTGATTATACTGGTCGATATGGAGTAGCTGGTTTGTATCCGTGTATCGGAAGTGGATGGCATAGACGTGCATAAAAGTACTTTCTCGTCAAAGTATATAAGAAATTGATTGTATCTATTTGCATTTGCCGAGAATATAGGATATTGTGAGATACGCGTTACGAGAAAATTCTGGCGATGTGCCGTACTTCTTTTTCTTTTGGTTTTTCTTTTTTTTGAATATACGCAGACGAAGTTTTCAAGTCCTCGGCGTAATGTTATTGTAAAACAATTGATTTTATTAAGGCGGATAAATAAAATCGAGGGAATAATTGAGAATATCGAAATTTTTGTATTATTGAATTTGAATTGAAATCTTGCAGTTCACTTACTCTTTCTTTGCAAGATCTGCGTCCTAGAACTATGAGAAATGTGAGAATCAGTCCTATTGTAAGTAGCTAAGTTCTGAATCATGTTACATAATTGTCATCGTGTTCCGCAACTAAGGATTCCTCGATTGCCTTTCAATGTATCACATGCCGCGTCTCAACTGATGAGAACAGGATGAAAAACAATAGCTTATTTATTAAGTTATTTTTAATTAATGCCTATTAAAATTATATCATTAGCAAGACACATAGTGATCATATATAATTACAATTTTGTCGGTTTATTTTTTTCTTTTTTACTAATTTCAATAACTCTGCTATAACATGTATTCTTTGTTCGAAAGAAAATTGCGACACATTCACACCCTAAAATGTTATTTATGTAAAGTTAATAATGATATGAACATATTCTAGCGAAATTGTAATTAATCCATTTTCTCTATCAACATTTACTCGATTGTTCCAAATTGGAAAAAAAAAGTACTGCTCTGTATAAGCGAACAATAAACTGAGTTTGTTTATGGATCAAGTAAATTTAAAAGTCATGAAAAAATATCCCTAGAATGTTAAACGTACAAAATATAACAGAAAAAACATAACCGCGTATTTTTCTTGTTATAACATATAACTATAATATGATCTTGTTTAATTATTCATGCTTTCGAAGAATCCTTGATACACGACGACGCTGTACGTAGATTGTGTTAAATGGCGATGCGAATAAGACTAAAACACACGATAATGTCCTTAAAGATTAAGACGCGGAAGAAACAGAATAAGAATATTATTTGCGACTATTATTTTTCTATGGCTCGTACGGAGTCCGACTCGTACAGATAAATATAAATACATACACACACACACCTACACATGACATACGTAACTCGAGATTTACATAACTGATAAGCAAACCTCCATAGGCTATTAAAGGAAACACAGAGTAAAGTAAGGAGAATCATAGGACTAAAGCAATGTAAGCAAATAAAGAAAGAAATATGGTGGTGAGGAAATTTAATTTTTAAGTTTCACACACACATGCATTGTGCATGCGAAGAATAAATAATGTACGCAATTTTCCGAGAATAAATTTTTGTTTTGTACAGCGGATATTGTGAGATCCCCGATGCTAAATAATACTGAAATGATGAAGTAACGCGTCGTGTCATTTCCAATCTCCTACACGTTTCTCTCCGTTCGAACTGCTTGAAACGTGACAAAGAACTCTCATTTCTTGACAAAGTTGAAATATCAAGAGAATGTTACTGCAGATCTATAATTAAATTTTGTAGCTTAAAATTTTTGCAGTATTTTTTACATTCAATCCTCGTTAACACTGCCTTTCCTATGTTTCCTTTAATAACGATGATACCACCATAATAATGCATATGTATGTATTTAAGTGTTAAATATTAAGATTTTGAGTTGGAAACATGTGATCGGAGATACGAGAGATGCGTATCGTACGATTTCCGGGAAAAGAAACTTGGTTGATAGAATTACGTAATTTCAATAGAAGTCATGTTCTTCAATAGAAGTCGATTAACGCACGTTACAAGGCTATCGTACGTTCAATGATACCGAAATATTTACAGAAATGTGTTGCGCATTATACATACTACGAGATTAGGTCGTTTGCAAAAAATATCCGCGCGCTACATCCAGTATGTTTTGTCTAATCGACAAGTGACACGAAAATGATTTATTGAACGATAAATGTCAACGTTGATTCGTTTAACTTAAACCCAACGAAGGCTCTTAAATCTTCTTATACTGCGCGATACTCACAGTCATTTTGCACATATACGAAAGATTAATTCTATTTAAAGTACTCGAATGAATCTATGAGATCCTAGCAAAATTTCAAGATACGTCACAACAAGAGTTTTAATGTTTTTTTAACTATGTTTATTGAGTGTGAAATCTTTATCACAGGTCAATTTTTTCTTAAAACTAATATTATTTATTTAAAAAATATCTGATATTGTTTATTGAAGAAATGAACGTTGAACATTTATGCATAATATTGGTCTAAAGAAGTTATAATGGGAATATCATTTAAGATCTTTCCCAGTGAGTGCGTGTAGGATATAAGGGAAAAACCGCGAATATACTCCTGACACAATCCTAGAGTTAATACGAAACAATCGGAAAAGATGTGAGAAATCATGAGAAGGGATTTTATGTAGTTTCAATTTATAAAGCTTCGATTGTAAAGTAGACACGACACCACAGATACGACACTCCGTTTCGATTTAAAACTCGTTCCTTTTATGTTTATAATTTTACAGTTTTACGTTTACAGTTAATGACGTATCGTTCTGTGGATTATTGTTGCTGGGTACGCTTCCAATTTAGTAATTAAATATCTCTGTACTATCTAATAAACGTGTCTTATCGCATCTACACGCTTAATAGAACAATTCGATTGTTTTAGCACATGCTAACGCACCCGACAGCATTAATGCACCAGTTCGCACATGTGAGATTCTCCCACAAAGACTGCGGGATTGATCTTCACTCGCTGCGCGAATTTCGCAAGAAAATTTTGAATGCTAATTAGACCGAAAGATCACGGTCTGGCATTCGCTAATTATCAACGGTCAGGCACAACTCATCAGGCCTGTTCTCGCAGTGTCGCAGACTTCCCTTATCGTGCGACCTCTCGCGACCTTAGTGTCAACGTGCGCGATGTTGTTCTTGTAGTAACGACGTAGCGTATGTGGATTCGGCACGTAAACTTCGTATGGCGCCCTGCCGCTCTCGATGACCCAAATACTGCCGGATTCGCCGATCCTCAGGATTGTCATTAACCCTTGCGCGACTATATAAGGCCTGCAAAGGTCAAGTAACATCGAAGCGATGAGAAATTTATTTAAATTAACAATTATACAGGCGTAGTGTACTACACCAAGTGAAATGTAACGATACACGCTAAATAGGCTGTAGCACTTACAATCTCGCACACCATAAAAAGTTACGTATCTTCAAAAAAAAAAAAAATAGATTGCAAATCATCTTTTTTAGAAATAAAAAATTATTTTCTAAAATAGAAAATTACTTGTAATAATGTGTATATGTATATTTTTTTTATATTAAGATATCTTGCATTTATTATTATTTGTCAAGAAAAGATGAAGAATTCCTTAATGTTATAATTGAAGGCAACAAAAAATTCGAATGAAACACTTCAATGATGACTTACGTTTGTATCGAGAACTGCTCAAGGTTCTTGACGAAATCCGCCTTCATGACTCTGGAGAGTAACTTATTAGGGCTATCTATTGTCAGGGCGGTTTCCGTCAATCCGGGACATAGAGTTATCACAGTAACTCCGGTCTTTTCGTAGTGATTAGGGTCCTGTTTGCGAATAAATGTTTATTAACGATGATAAATTAAAAATCAGGCAACGAGTTATAAAGTTTCAGTATCAAATCATGTTAAAGTTTATTACTACCACGATTTAAATACACTAATTTAATCGTAATCGCACTCGCAGTTGTTTAAGTAATCTAAATTTAGTCAATTACAGTTGCGTATACATTTGCTTACCGAAAGAGATTGGGATAGACCGATGACGGCGTGCTTCGTGGCGGTATAGACAGGAAGCTGAGCCGTGTTCCGTATGTCCGCGTGTTGGCTTATATTTACTAGGATACCACCGTGACCGCCCGTATCTCTACTCATGTATTTTATAGCTAGCATCGCGGTGTTGATCATACCACCCTGCAATGAAGTAAACATCACACATCTAACATTGGAAAATTTCAAATTATTTTCTATGTTTGTTATATCTGTTGCAAGTAACTTTTATGTTTCTTGTAATTAAGTATGTTTTTCTTACAGGTGCAATTTATTCACGCGATGAAACTATCTTGCGACAAAAGCCATTAAAATATCGTTCGGAAGAGTATCGCGAGAAAGCGGAAAAGAAGGACATCAATGAAATATCGATAACTTATCAAGAAGCTGTTACATTCTTACTAACGAGATACTCACGATGTTCACCGCAATTTCCTTTTCCCATCTTCGCTCGTCCAAAATGCCAGCGTTGTTCACCACGATGTCAATGTTTCCTAACAACGACGACGCTTCCTCGAACGCCTCTGCAAATTAATAACGCACAGATGTAAAATATAACACAGCGACACTCGATGAACAGACACACTTGTACGCGATTTCAGAATCTCATTTTGGGACTCACCAGACATTTGTTTGTGATTGGATACATCGGCGTGTATAAAATGCACCTTCTTCTCGCCATAAGACTTCTCAATGCCAAGCGCGATCCGTTTGCCGGCTTCAACGTCGATATCCAATATAACTATTTTCTGTAAAAAATTCGCAGATTATATCAACACTTTCGAACAGAAAGCGATAGAAAAGTAACTGAAATTTCTCGTTTGGATTCAAGTAAGTTCAAGTTTATGCTGCGTATATCATTGTTATTTTTATTATTAAACTCACGTTTGCTATGTGTTTTAAGAAGTGGTTGAGGAAAGCGTAACCCAATCCTGCCGCACCACCGGTAATAACAATATTCTTCCCGGAAACAATGCAATTGATCGCTTCGATCTCCTTCGCCCTTTCGGATGCTGAGGAACGACGGCGGAACGACCGCAGGCCTAGTTCTGCAATACAAAATTCGATGAATTGAGGTGAGAGATTCAATAATGTCGGAAAAACCAGCGATATCCAGTTAATCTATTACATTACGTTAACATATTATGTCAATGTGTGTTGAATCGCGTTGTTATTCGAAATTATATCGCATGTATGCCCTTAGCCATTTTTAAAAAGAAGATATGTCTGTCTCGTGAATTTATCTCTCTCGTATGAACGACTTATCACATGACATTTAACGAGCGTATGGTCCATCGATCTTTCCGTTACGGTCAACCTTGTTCAGATAACGTATCTTGTAAAAAATTTAAGTAGTTTAATTCACATTAATAAGCATATTCTGGACGCGCTCCCGTTCTTCTCTCAACATGTTTTCTGCTACAAGAAGACTCATCCGTTCCTCGCATACAGATCATCGATTATTTATAATCTTCCTTCATTGAAAATAGCTTAAAAAATTTCAGGATTCAAAAATATATCGGAAAATTTATTGGTGGAATAGAAAGTTTATTTCTGTAAAAGTTTATCTTTGTAAAATAAAATTTACTCTCTTCTGTGAATAAACTTTATATCCCACAAATAAATTTTCAAATATTTTTTTCAGTGTATCATCGCGTTGTATTTTACGTGACGAGACACTTCACCAAGAACCGCATGACGAAAAGACGCGAGACTCACCTATTTTCTCCATAGGTGAAACCGTTGCGAATATTTAAGAGATAGACACAACCTATTTCTAGGCCGTTCAAATCCACACGATGATACCGAAGAGAGAACAGTCCCGAACTTCCACCAATAGCACGTTCAATTGAACTGAGTTTCAAGACCGTCCGCTGAATGGTATTTATACGCGATAAGTACCGATGCAGGATTTCGTGATACCGCGACTTTAGTTTCCGTGGTGGCGGGGATGATTCAGGGGGCGAAAAATGGACTCTGCACGCACACAGGTCAGTACACAGAAATAAACTGCAATTGAGGAGAAATTTCTCAGTTTTTCTTCTTTTCACTTAGAGATTGAAAAGAATTGGCAATTCTGAAGATTGTAAAACTCGTCCTTGAAACCTTTCATCATAGATGCAGTAGAACGAGATTAAAAAATATTTTGTTGAGCTTAGAAGATTTTCAAATTTCACATTTGGAAATTCTAAAAAGTTTTAAGTTCTATAAGTGAACATATGATATATACAAACACACACATTAATTTATAATAATTACAAGAGTTTTATCATCGTTCATTAATGTCTTCAAATTTTTGATTTACTGCAAGTGAATCTAGAGATTCGCTTCAACGCGATTCCCGATATAAGAGAATATCATTTCATATCGAAATGAATGATTTACTTAGTAAAATGTTGTTTTCGATCATGATTTTTCGACTACGGCTTTTCGACTACGCCGTACTCGTCGGATTTCTCTGATTTATCATTGTCTTTCTTATCTTCCCTCTCACTAGACCAGCCAGCCACGTCTCATCCTCCTCTTTTCGCGTCGTTCGCGATAGCGCTTCCCCTAATTAACCCTTTCCACGAGGGCCAATTAATCGCGTAGCGCCGTCGGCCCCTCTTCTGATACTAGACTCATGAACATGAGAACCGACTGAGATTTCTCGAAGTTGTTGCGCACTTTTTCTCTCCCTCGCCGTATTATAATTGCGGTGCGGCGGTATCGTATCGCACCAGGTCGTGATCCAGACGATACATCACACTAGGTAATCCATTTCTCGACAATGTTGCATACTTGCTCTATCGCATACTGTCACAGTATAGCGACTCGTTATGTTGTACCATGACAAGTAACTCGGAGAGCGACGAACGAGTGAGATCAAAGACCGTGCATTCTCATTTTCGGAGGCCACATGAAAGATCTGTTTTTGCATATTTCATCTTGCCTTGGGCGAGCCGTTCCGTTAATAAAAATTTACGCTGGGCTCGGAGCTAGCTGCCGGTGGGTCGTATATTACTCGCATCGCGGTGCAACCAGAGAAAATATTCTCGCCGTTTTATGCTTCCTATATCATGGCACAGTTTTCAGGTCGACCCCGTCTCTATACTATTCTCTCCCGGATTAATATTTCCTTTTACATTATAATAAATTTATTCTTTATTCTCGTTGCGCTTCCGTATTATAGTCTCTTTCTGCAAACAGCACAAAGTATCTAACATACGTCTTAGAGACGTCCTAAAAATGTCTAAAACAAGTAGGATAGTTCAGACTTTACTAAGACGTCTTTTAGATATTTATTCTGTATGTATTCGCTCCTTCTCCCTTTGAAAATTTTTTTTTAATTCATATCAAAGAAAAGAAATTGTGCAAAAAAGATGTGATCAAAAAGAACGAATCTAATGCGAATCATGACACACTCGTGCATTCTAGGATGATTTTCGCAAATCAGTCAGAAGCGTGTTCCAATAAAAAGACGTTTTTTCAATACTTGACGTAGAATGTTGAGACATACGGTTTCTAAAGCGACAACAGGGGTGAGGCTCGCAGAGGTCAATTTTATACGAGTCATCGTATGTTCTGAGTACTGGACACGTGATGATCATCGACAACTTTTGTTCGTGCGAAATCGTATGCTCGTGTAACAGTCGATGCAACGCAATAAAACGTTATCGATCGTATTATCGCCATCAGTCAGTCCGTATCAAATGTTACCGACCTCTCCGCTCGTTGACCTTACTACTCGTTACGCGTGTCATTCCTCATTTATTATTTTCCAGTTCGTCGATACATTCGGGAAAGTCTGTGAGACTCGAGTGAAGGCCACGACGAATTCGCGACAACGATTGATCGTGGCGCTCGATCGAATTTCGGCGAAACGACACAAGAGCCGAAGAGGAGCAGGCCGATTATCGTCGATCGCTTATGTGTGCTCGTGGCGATCGGCCGGCTGCAGAAATAGCGCAAGTCGAGGCGCGGTCGTGTGGCACAAAGCGGCGATAAGAGCTTGACGTGCGCACAGCTCGTGCTCGCCGTCGTTTTATCGATAGAAAAAAGTCCATTTAACGTCCGGTGCACGTCGCGCCGGCGATGAATACATAAATCACAGAGCAAAACTGGTATCGTCGCGCGCGCTGCCAGCCGATACCAGTAACCAGTACGCGTTGGTTCCGATCGAACTTTACTCGGAATTCAGACGAAAGTAATTCCTTCGTGTGATTTTTCCCTTATCGCGCTGCGCCTTGCAGTTAATGCGCGATGTCTTGTATCTGTGTGTGTTCGCTGCACTCCGTCTGCCGACGCTGCAACCGAGTCGCATACGTTCAGATACGCGCGTCTGCGCGTGATTACTTCTACGTAAATTGTGTCCGAATGTGACCAGTCTGTCTCTCTCTCTTCCTGCCTATCTCTGTGGCGTATTATTTGCTATATCGCCACTGCTTTGTAACATATATCTGCCTCTATCCTTTGACGTAAGTATACGATAAAAATTGCAACCTGAGACGCAGATCGGCGGCGGGTTTCCATTTGCAAGCTCTATATGTAATACAGATCTATCTATATGTAATACAGACCGAGGTTTTTCACATGGGAATTGTCATACACATTCTTATTGCATTTAGAACTCTACAAAGTCAAAGGTATGAAACACGCGTGTAACATTTATAAACATAAAAGCATTTATAAACTTGCCATGTTACAATTTCAATCTGTTAACAATAAATTTATCCAGCGGAACTTATCTGCTCGATAAATTTATCATACGAAAGAGACAATCCGTTCAATTAATATTAATTATTATACGTGCGGTGCATTTATACACGACTCAACTTTGCAATCATTTAACTTTCAATCGGCTTCGCGTCAAAGGCTGATTCTTTTGTATCAGCTTCGCTTTTCTTCTGCGGCAGTGTGTCGGGAAGTTGCACCTCGTAAACTGGTTTTCCATCCTCGCTGATCCACACACTGCCATTCTGCGCGCATCGGATCACATATATCAATCCATGAGCAACGTTTTCCACCCTAAAGACAGATTTTACTTTAGCATTTTATGCGGATTTCTTGGATGCGCAAAATATCGATTGACTCACCTCTGAGGTTGATAATTCTGCATAATTTCGGTTTGCGAAATATCTTGTGGTAAGTCTTCCAATGTGCCCGTCAAACCGGGGCACAGTACGATTACTTTTACATTAGTCCTTCCATAGTGGTAAGGTTGCTGCATGTTAGAAATACGAAATTATTCAGGACAACGAATGCTGGGAAAATTCGCGCGATATCGAAAATGCTGGGAAAATTCGCGCGATAAAGAAAAGAAAATATTGCCGGGGGATAACAATAACTTATTAGATATTATTCTAATTTGTTTATATTCTTAAAGTGTATATGTGTCTCGTTAAGTTTCAGAATATTTATATATTTCTTTCATTTCCCTTAGTCGTCTTTTCTTTCATCATATTTCATATATATTTCTTTCATTTCCCTTTCATTTCCCTTAGTCGTCTTTTTATAATGTAATATTATTGACTTAGTTTTAATTGAATTTTTTTAACAAATATTTGTATGTTTCCAGGTACACTTTGAAGACGCAGACACTCACCGCAAAGGAACGGCTGAAACTAACTACGGCGTGCTTCGTAGCAGAATACACCGGGAGCTCAGATAGCGCTCGTAATCCGGCAATAGACGAGACATTTACGATGACACCGCCCTTGCCTCCGGAATCCTTCCGCATTTGTTGAATTCCCAAGAGAGTTGCACGAATTACTGCTGTCTGCGGTAAGAATATCAATATTTTCTTACTTTATTTATAAATATTTTTTCATGTATATTTGTATTTTTTTATTAGAGTTAGCCATATTTAAACCTCGCATTAATATTAATTAATTTTTACATAATAGTACAAGAACAAATTATGCTTGTACATGAAATCAGATGTTAAAAAACTAATAAGATTACAAACAAAAAGCTTCGCAATTCCATAAGAATTTTCGTTTGAAGATTCACTGTTAAATTTGACAGAGATTTTCCTCAAGACCGATATTATTCCAAACTTAGACATATAACTTAGACATATAACTTAGACATATTATTCCAAACTTTGAATCAAAATTTGAAGACAAAACTTACTACATTGACATCGATAGCTTTGGAGAAGTCGGTTTCGTTTACTACGCCTGCATTATTTATTAAAATCTCAAGTCCACCGAGAACGCCGATCGCCTCTTTAAATGCAGCTGTAACAAACGATATTTCAGTTACAAACGTACTTCCAACTGTTATACACTAAGCTTATGAATAAAATGATGAACAAACGGTGTCTGTTAATATGTAAATAACCACGTGCCTCTTTATGAAAATTTACTTTTATTTTTTTCTGTATAAATAAAAAATACTTTGCATATATTTACCATCAAGTTCAGAGCTATTTGTCACGTCGCAATGTAGAAATACAGCACGTTTGCGACCGAATTCATTGTTTAGCGTCTCCACCGCTTGTTCCCCAAACGACTGCTGGATATCGATCATAATAATCATCTGGAAGTATTTACGCGCGTTATACACATTAAGTTGTACAGAATAATTAACACTATGACAATTTTTAACATTCTTACGATATAAATTGATTAATAATACTAAGAACTCTAGTTTCGACTCAACTTAATGTATAAATAAGTCGCGCTGATCTGATTTATTGATCCTTATGCGAGGGAAAAGCACAATTCAAAGTAGATACTCAAAATAGATATTAAATAACATACCGAAGCACCATTTCGTAGCAGTTCTCTGCTAAATGCCAGACCTAGATCACTCGCTGCTCCGGTCACTATAACGCGTTTATCCTTGATCTGCATTTCTTCTCTCGGAAAATCTCTCAACAGTAATCAATCTTTCTTTTTTTTAAATAACTCAGTCGTTTGAAACACTTCACCGAAAAGTGTCATCTACTAATTCAATATATTTACAGGAAATTGGTCGCACGCTATCGAAAGGTAAAGAAACGTCTCTTCGTCGATCACCACTAGTTGTGACGCGCGTCTTCGGCCAGTCTGCCGCCTCCTTGAACCGATATGGAAGAATTCGTTGTTTTCGTTTTACGATCTTCGACCTCGCGAACTGCGTGACGTTCAATCTGCCAGGGTCTCGTCGCGCGAGATCCGTTATCTACGGACGCAATTTCGTGGATGTCTTCATTTCCCGATCGCATGTCAGTTATTCCTCACGTCATCTGTGCTTTCTTATTCGTGACAGTTTTCAATAGTATTCCGAGTGTATCTCTAATATTCTTTAAGAGGACGATGCTGTAAAAAAATAGTAAGTTTTATATTTGTTATATTTGTTATATTCGATTATATATATTTCAAAAAGGAAATGCGAAAGTGAAGTTAAATAGACAACACTAGATTTAAACTGGATGCTACGCATCCTTAATGTGTTAATCTCTAATAGTACATAACTTCCTTCAAATTAGCATTTTTTAGTTAAATTTAACTCCTCCGCGATAACGGTTCTGTACAATACTCGATATAAACATAGTAATGTTAAAGATAATGATAACATGAATATGTTTCTTATACTATCACTGTTGCGGGATTGATTATGAAACTTGAAAACAGAGGTGATGACATTATTTTGATAAGGATGTTCGCGACAAACATTACATATGGGACTTAAGATAGCAAAACTGTTCGTTCCAGTTTTATTCGCGTTATTTACATCCAATATTTAATTATTACCTGTCATTAATTCGTTAATTCATACTAAAATCTGATTAACGAATCACAGATAAATGTTATTTTATGTACATAAATAATTCTAAGTTTTCAGATTCTTCTACAAGAGCTGGAATCGCGCAGGTGATATAATCGTCAAATCAATGTACAGAATTAAACATTACATGTACAAGTCTTCAAACGCGAGCGGTTAGCATTTCTTAGATCGAGCGAGTTCCACGTCGCGCGTGCGATCGAGAAAAGGAGAAGGCTTTCGAACTCTCGCTTTCGGGGCGCGGTCGCTTTTTTTGACGGCGTTCTAAAAATAAAAGGGGCCACAGGACCGAGACATAGTGGAAGGCCCGTCGGACAGTCTGTTGTGGGGTTGCGAGCACGCGTACGCATGCACTCACGTATTTATGCACGTGCGTGAAGGGCACGCATCGGCTCGCAGACGCGTCGCGCACACCCGCATGACACGCAGACGCGCCAATCAATATCGGACTCTACCGGGTGTTCGCCGGGTGCGCACCCCGACTGTCGCACCGGCTGAGACAGTCAGTCAGCGAGTACGTGGTCGCATCCACCAACCACACCTTCCTTCGCGAGTCTCCTACGACCGTCGCCGATTACATCCCTTTGGAGAAGACACACAGCATTGTACCTGAGTACGCAAGCTAGCCGGCTTGCCAACTTACTCTCCTTGCAACCTCGTCTATTGCAGTACGTCATTACGGCTGGAAGAATCCGAAAGGTACGGCGAACTGAACGAAACGAAAAGGCGAGTTCAATCTTGATGTGCGGTAGACGGCGTAAGCGATTGAGAATAGACGACGGAGAATAGGCGATTTGGGGGAGGGGAGGGATGATTAGAGCAGTGTCGCGAGGCATTCTGTCGAATTTTGAAATTACCTGTAAGCAGAGCGAGTGAAGGGAGGGTACTGTACGCCGGTATGGTTAAATTGAAGCACGGTTATTCGAAAGCGTCGGTTCACGTCGTTCGATGATATCGTGATCGAAGTAATATGTCTTCATGACAGGTGAGAAAGCGGTGTGTCAGGTGTGAACGCCTGCTGCTCTTGAAAGACATAAGCGAGTCAATTTTCTTATAGAATAAAGAGTTAAGGGTAGTTCGGAAGAGATAATGTGAAGGAAAAAGAACAGAGTTAGATTACCGGGGAAATGTTGAACACGAATTTTTGTGAAGAGGTAACTTTTTATTTCTCTTAAGGTCCTCTTTCTGAGTGGAATATTATTAAAACATTAATAAAACGTAGCGTTAAAAGTTGTATCGTTATTTGTATAATTAGCTGTATGAAATAATAAAACGGTAGTGTTAATCTGGAATTTCATATGTACAGATATAAAAGCAGACGGCAATTCAAAGAAAATGGAGATAAAAGGGCGAGTTGCCCTTGTGACAGGAGCCGCTTCCGGCATCGGTAAAGCGTGTGCCATCGAGTTGTTAAATCAGGGTGCCAAGGTAAGGCAGTTTAAGAGAAAATTTGTCTGCTCAATCTTTAACGTACGTGTATTTTTCATATCATAACACATATCTTGCTCTTTCACGAAAAACAGAAATCGTTTATTATCGCGATTTTCCAAGCGGTGAACATTACGCGTTATTTGTGTGAATTTGTGATTTGCAAATCATGTATGTCTGCAACTAAAGTTTCGTGCAAAAGAAAGTTCGAAGAATTCTTTAACGTGTTTTCCTTCAAAACAGCCAATTTATATTTAGATCACTCTCAGAAGATAAATGAGAGATTTATCGCAAGCTCAAGATAAATATCGTAGAATTGATGTGTTTTTACTTCAATAATAAGTACTTTCATTTTTTTTCAATAAGTACTTTCATTTTCTCATCTTCAAAAAATTCTTATTTCGTTTTGTTGATTTCGAGAAAATTCCTATAAACAAATATTTCATTATTATATATAAGCAAAATTTAAATTAATTTTCATACTTAATAACTTCGATTTGCCAACACTCTCATGTAAATGTAACTAACATTTCACTCTGACTATAAATAAATAGAGATATTTTATAAATAATGTCAAGCTTATTTTAGATAGCACTATAAGTGCAAAAAGGTTTGTTTATTTTTACATGTATGTCGTCATTTATAGGTGGCCATTTGTGATATTAACACCGAAGAGGGTGAGAAGTTGGTGGAGACACTAACCGCAAAATACGGCAAAGATCGTGTGATCTTCTCCCAATGCGACGTCACTGATTATCCGCAATTTGAAGGTACGATAATTGGCGATATTTACGGATTCATCGCATTCATAAATGACTAATGCATGTACAAGGCCCACATAACTCTTTACAGCTTGATATTTCAAAAATTGAGAAAGATATGAAAAAATGTTCCTAGCAAAGGTTGTAGGATATCGAGGAAAAAAAGATAGTAACATTTATTTGACATATTACCATGATTCCATTAAAAAAATTAATATTGACAGAACTTTTCAGAATCATTCCAAGATCAAATATTACTATCTTTTTCGCTTTCGATATCCTACAACTCTTGGAAATATTTTTTTATATCTTTCTTCATTTCTACGATGTGGAGCTGTAAAGAGTTATGTGCGTTACTCTATATATGTATATCATTTTTATTACTACGGTGATTACTCATGTAGCAATATAATACAATTTGATTTACAGAATCATTTCAGACAACGATCGCGGAATTCGGTCATATTGATATCGTTATCAACAATGCTGGTATCATGAATGACCGATTTTGGGAGCTTGAAGTAGATATTAATCTCGTAAGCAAATATCTCCAACAGATCTCCTTTCAGTATATTTTGAATGACTTGTCCTAATAGTATTAGTATTAGATATTAGTTAAGTATCCTAATAGTATCAGTAAATCACTTTTTGATAAGTTGATGTAAATTTATGGCACTTTTTATAAAGATTTCTCTATTTCTTCAGTTTTCACATATGTTATCTACTTCTGATTATAATTGATGCAGTCTGTGTAGTGCTACATAACTTCAAAAAATTAATTGTATTGGAATAATATTAAGCGATATTTCTTGAATAGTTTTTTTTCTCATGAAAAAAAATCTAAATGTAGTAAATTTCGAAAAGTGGAATCTTTAACTTTCGTAAAAACTTCTTAGAAACGGTGATAGATATTTAATCTAGAATTTTTCTATAGACCGTCTCAATATATTTCCATGTTTTTGTGCTCTTCATTTTTTTATTTCAATGGAAAAATATCATGCATCTTTGAAATCGATTTCCTTGAATTTTGTATGACTTTATTGCATGTAACTCCATATTTATTGATCAATTTTCAAGAATAAAATAATCCTGACGTGTTTGATATGATGTATGCGCGGGCGTTAAAACATAAACGCTCCCATAATTATATTTACAGAACGGAGTGATTCGCGGTACTTTGCTCGCTCAACGGTTTATGGGTACAGATAGAGGTGGCCAGGGTGGAGTCGTTATTAACACCGGCAGCAATGTCAGCATTAACCCTTACGTCAGTGTGCCAATTTACTCCGCGACAAAAGCGGCCGTCGTCAACTTCACCAGGGCTTTCGGGGTAAGTATTCTTCTTGCACATATTCCAGTTATCGATCATATCTGCTGACTCGAAATAACGACAATGTAGGTCGTCGATTTTTCAATCGTTTCAGTGAAGGGTAGATCTCTTTCACTCTAGATAAAATGGAAAATTAATAATTGTAGTAAAAATATTTTAAGACAGTATTATTCACACAGACTGGAGAATAGATTCGGAAAAATTTACTCTTACAATTCTTATTATCTAACAAAAGAAGGTCCCGAAGGTGATTCACTAGTTTTGGTTTAAAACTTATGCTGACATATTGTATATGGTGTCACTAAGATAAAATGCAAGTTACAGCCCCTATCTTTGCAATATAACACAATGGCGGTATAATATATTTTTTATTTTTTAAATTATTTTTCAAATGTGATTCGGCTATATTGAATTGGAAAGCATTGATAATTACTTTTTCAATTATTAATGCAATAGTAATTATGACATTGATAATTACTTTTTACCGTTCTGTACTCAAAGTTAACCAAACTCTTATTATATCATCTCGGTGACCGTTTATTGATCTGTCACAAAGTGCTACAATAAAAAAAAATTGTAAATAAGATTTTGAAATTTTTTTATATAAAAAGATGCAATAATCCAAAATCATACGTGGGAAAATTTTTTGAAAATATCTACTTTTTAAATCAATTGATATAGAGGAAAGGAAGTAAATCAGGCATAAAAAATTTTTTTAATAGGTAAAGAAATCAAATAAAATCATACTACTGTATAATTACAAAAAATCCGATATGAAAAAAGAGAAATAAAAAATAGTCAATCCAATATGGCCGAATCACATTTGAAAAATAAGTTGAAAAATAAAAAAATATATTATACCGCCATTTAGTCATATCGCAAAGATAGGGACTGTAACTTGCATTCTTAGTGACATCATATACAATATGTTAGCATAAGTTTTGAATTAAAACTAGTGAATCACCTCGGGACTTTCCCTTGTAAGTATTTTTTAATTGCATTGTGTAATATTTAGCTTGTACATTGAATTGGGAATTTAAAATAAGAAGGAATATAAAACTGATATATGATACATTACGTTTTTAATATATGTATAGGATCAATATCACGTGGACTTGACGGGTGTTAAAGTAATCGCACTTTGTCCAAGCGCCACAGAGACTAAATTAGTGCGAGACGTCGGCAGAAAGCTTCTTCTGGCTCGATATGAGGATGCCTGGCAAAGGGATATATCTTCATCAGTCTTTCAAAGGTACAATTTCACACGACATTATTCTCTTATTAAGTATCTTTATATAATTAGCTCTCATTTCTTAAATTAAATAATCTATAACTCTAACTTCAAATAATTACGCTGTTTATATAAAAATTTCAAATAATTTCCAAAACAATAATCGTTCATGTAATAATTTCTCTGAAAGCATCAGATGCAAAAGCTTAATATGATCTCAATATCTGATAAATATAACTTAATATAAAAATGACCTGGTCGCGAAAACGATACATATAAACGATATAGTAAGAGCAGAAAAATATGTAACAAATTGCGAGTGTACGTATTGAACTTTTTCTGAAAGAACCTCCGATATTGTAGGGCGGAACACGTGGCAAAGGCACTGATACACGTGTTGAACACCGGCAAGAGCGGAAGCGTATGGATGGTGGAGAAGGAACAGCCGCCGCACGAGTTCAGCTTCTCGAAGCACTAAAAAAAGGGAAAAAAGGAAGAGAGTGTCGTTCACGTGCAATGATTCTTCCTCGCTTCACTGCAAATATCTTATGCCGTATCGCACAACTAACTGTAATTGTATCGAGATGTGTATCCCATCACTTGTCGGCATTTCGCCGGCCGTTATCGACGACGACTAAACGCGAATGAAACGTAGTTTTACTCATATACTTTCATATAAAATATTTCAAGGAAATATTTGGAATGTTTTTTACTGACGACAACGAATGTATTGTCCGAAGATCACATCACTTCCAGTTTTTTATAGAAAGTCATACTTTTGGTACGATTTATACAATGACATTATACTATGACTGACATAGCAAAATCTGCGACACGCAGATGAGAGTATCTCGGATTTCATAATCGCGATATTCAAGGAAAAAATAAGGAGAAAAAAGAATCCCGCGCGTCGCGGCGGCGGGAATATTTAGCACGCATAAAATACATACACAAAAAAAGAGGAAAATGTAAAACATTGTAAAAACAATGGCTTTCGCTTCCGTCCCGCACCTGCGTTATGAATTCGCGTCGATTTTCGGCACGGACCTGAACAACAATTCGCATTCGCTTATATCAGTCGAAAATTCTCGTATGAGGAATTCATTTTCCGTGCGTTGCGAATATCCATATGACGTACTGGCGAAAATTATTGCAACGATATCTATATCCAGCCGCCAGTCATCTATAATTGTTGCACAAGTTACTTGTCTTACGTAATCGATCGTCCTTTATTTCTAATGTATCCAACATAATCTCAATGATTCCCTTCGTGCCGTCTTACGTCGCTAAGTGTAATGTAATCGCGTCTCACTACTAAATCGAATATAATAGAGACACTTTGTATTTATTGCTTGTGTGAAGGTAGGAAGAGAACGTGTGTGAAAGAAACAGAGTGAGAGAGGTGAAAGCATTAATTTTCGCGCTCTCGACGCGTACAAAAAAAAAAGGATGAGAAAAGAAGCTTACATGCATCTCTTACGATGACCGATATAAATGATCCTGGATCGACGAATATTCCTTTTGCAAAATATCGCAAAATACAATATCTCTTTTATGTAAGAGAGAAGTAAAAGGTATCATACTAAATTCAAAGCTGCTCCTCCTTGTCGTCGATATAACTTTTAACGTTCAGTAGAAGGAAAAACAATATTTTAATCTTGGAAAGCGTAAAGTAATCAAATCTATATCACATCTCAAACACTCATATAGAGAATATACGTTTTATAAATATTATATTTAAGTGAAAATATCAGGATGGTAGACTGATTAAAATATAGTCGAAAGAAATATATTCGAAAAAAAGAACATTACATAAAATTTGTTTACATGTCACAAGAGATTTTGACGAAAAACTGAAGCTCACGTTCACATGCAAATTCACAGCTGAAGTTCGATACGTGTGTATCATTTACAGCTCAAGTTCGATACGTACATCAAGGATCATCTACATCGGTGTAACCGCGAGTGGAATTAAACCGAAATCCGTCGGACGATTACTCCAAGCCAAACTACGTAACTAATCGTGTCCGTAATTTTTCTACAATCTTTTGAGGAAAATGCAGAATATTTAGAGAAACAGCATAGCGTTAGAATTAGGATCTACAGGCTGAGTGCGAACGCAACTTGTTCCTGTTTTGTCTCGGTTTCTCGTGGCATGGAGCAACCATCGCACCAAATTGTATCGCTCAGATCGATATAGATCGGTCGGATATCTAGTTAGCTAGGCGAATCCGTCGAATTTGTTTGAAAAATGTTGCTCATTCGGATAATTCCTTGTAGCTTTGGATCGACAACGTGATTTAGTAACGATTGTTGAGTTTGTTTCTGTTATGCATTACATGGTATGTACGTTGCTAGCCTTGCCAATAAAATGCATTGCCTTTTAATAATATCATAAGTATTAACTTGAATCTTTCTAAATGTGTTCTTGTACTACGGTTTTGTACTATTTGTTTCATTCCGCTATTTTGTTTTAAATCCCTGGCAAAAAAAGTTAGCTATAAAAATTTGCTAAAAATATATAATAATCTCCGACTATGATAAAATTTTTTTGGTATATCACTAATCTTACTAATATTAGCATAGTAATATTTTAGTAATAATAGAATATTTTCTTTTTACAGAGATAAGATCTTATATACTGAAAAATCAAGCAATACAAGAAATGGACTTGCAGCCTTGTACTGAGTGGTTCCGGTTCTGGATCTACGTGTTTTCATCACTTTTTTCCTTCATGCTTCTTACCTATCGACTCGCGAATCCGATCTTGTTTACCTCGAGAGCAGGTTCACGTTATCCCTATCAGATTCGCGAATGATATTCCATCACCGTTGACTTCTCAAATTTCAACATCTGTGGCATGTTCTCAGCAGTATGTGACGGATTTATTTGCAGATCAGTGCTCGACGAGATCGTACCTTCAGTGTGATCATCGAACAGAACGTGTCCACATGATGGAGATCCAGGAGAAAACCGTGCTCATCACCGGGGGAGCCAACGGGATCGGTTATTGCACTGCTCGGGAATTACTGCGAAATGGAGCAAAGGTAATTATAAGATTATATAAAACAATCGAATATAATCTACATAATTTTTTCTACAAATTATAGCGATAAACGAAAAAGGATGGCGTTATATAGGGTGAAATTTTATATAAAAAATATAAAATTTTATATAAAACCTTATATATAAACTTATATAAATATAAAGTAAACAAAAATTCAGTTTTTAAGTTTCAGTTGTGTCTCATATTTATATGATATTTATCGAATTTTATGTATTGCAGGTCATTGCAATCGTAGATTTGCCCGACTCGAATGGTGAAAACGCTGTGGTGGAATTGGAAAAAGAGTTCGGTACAGATCACGCTATTTTCCTCGCTGGAAACGTAGCAAATGTTGAGGAAATCACAGGTATCATATCGATTGATTGTAACTCGAAAATACGAATTGTTACAAGTGTAACGTTTATCTAATTTAAAATAATCAAGTATATTTAGTCTTTACCCGTACTTTCACGGAACATTTCAAACAAGAATATTTCTAATATATCCAACTTCCAAACAAAAGTAGTTCTAATATATTTGCAACGTAGCTTGCTTCGACAAGGCGATAGAAACACTTGGCACGTTGGACATTATTATCAACAGTGCCGGTATCATGAATGATGCCAAATGGGACTCGATGGTTGATATTAATTATGTAAGTAATGCTTGTTATGTAAAATTTCTTATTTCTACATTGATAATATATGATTCTGACGTATCATTAAAATAAGCTGTCTTTTTTTATGATATAGAAAAGTCGCGTTAGTCGCAACTCTCTTTGTAAAAAAAATATATATCTTAGTTTTCTTTTATATAATACTAATGGTAAAGATAATATATAGGAATTACCGTTTATTTTGTCCTGGTCTGCAGCCTTGCTATAAGGCTCCTGGATACTCACCTATCCTTGTTTAATGATGTCAGAAGCGAAAAGTCAACAAACAAGGACAGCTGACGCGAGTATCCAGGGACCTTAAACCCGTAAGCAAATTGACCAAAAACAATCAATCATTCTTGGAATATTCCAAGTAGGATAATTTTTGCAAAAATATATTATGGTATGTCAGTTAAAAACGCATACAGAACTATTTTATTATCTTTTATAACTTCATCGTTCTTTATGATTCTAGAAAGGAGTTGTACGTGGTACAATATTGGGTCTGAATCATATGGGAAAGCATAAAGGCGGAAAAGGCGGTACTATCGTCAACATGTCTTCCATAGTCGGTTTGAAAGGCAATCCGATCGCGCCGATTTATGCCGGTACGAAGTTCGCCATTCTTGGATTTAGCTCATCATTACAGGTAAGAATGCAAAATGAATAAATCGATTCACTAAATAAATATAAAGTGGCTCCGAAAATATAATTTGATACACAAATGTCAAATTTATATATTTAGACTTTTCACGCGAGATAATACAAATTATAGCGATATTATTTTATATTTAGTAGGATACTGTGCAGAGATATCTCAAATTCTCTGTATTGAAACTTTATGCATTCGCAGACTTTCTATGAGAAGACAGGCATACGCGTGTTGGTGATATGTCCTGGTCTCACGAACACAGCCATGGCGTCAAAATTCATGTCCAGCAAGATCTATGCCATGGATATTCTCGACGACGAAATTGCTGCTAAGGAGATGACAACATTAGAGAGTCAATCGTAAGTTACAAATATCACTTGATGCTATACAATTAAACTTTTCAATAACAAATTATAAAGAATATACAATATAAAAGAATAATAGTTCAAAGTCGTGTATAAATTTAAAGTCATTTTGTGTAAATTTAAAGTTTATGTATGTGCAGATTATTATATAATAAAAAATTAATAAGTTAATGCTTATTTTCTCATAAATCGCATTAGAAAATCTAAATTAATTACATAGAAAATTTTAGTTTTTATATTAGCTTCACATATTTGAACAGCGAAATACTATGTACTAACGCAATAATATTGATTTGAATAGCATCAATAACCCTTCTTTTTTTTTTTTAATAGACCTGAACACGTAGCAACTGCTATTGTGGAACTTATTGAAAAGGGAGAAAATGGCACGATCTTCGTCAGCGAAAACAATCAACCCTCATACGCCGTGAAATTACCGTTTTACACAGATCTGAAAGTCACAATGTGAAACTTTTAATAAACGGTTAATCATCTTTGGTATATGGACACCGGCGTCTCAAAGGGAGATCTCGCTTTCATAATTTTAAAGATAAGCATCTTTCGATTAGAACCAAACATCAAAAATAATTTTTATTGCAACATAAATTATAAAATTTTTTACCAAGAATTTTACTTGCATATTTATATATCTTTTTTATTTTGGTTGTATAATTAGAGAGAGCCTGTTTATAGTTTCGTTAGTAAATAAGAATAGATAGTAGTAACAATGACGCTTCTTGAAACCACGTATTACATTTTTCAATAGCTTAGATACCAGCTTATCAATGAATTCATGAAAACGAAATGGATCGCATATATTCGCTCGCGCGCATGCTTGACATGAGACACTGCTGTGACATTGCTTAATTTATACCAAAAGTATAAACATAAGATTACATACAATATTACACAAGACTAATAATTCAGGTCTAAAATATACGCGAATAGAAAAGTAAAAAAAAAAGGAATAATAATATGTAGTAAATACAAATTTTCTTCATGATTTGCAATTTTAATATGAGATAATGCTTAAGAGAAAACATAATCTTTACGTAGTCAATGTACAAATAGTTATTTAATAAATAGTGAACTTATTGTTCATAAAATGATACCTTTTAGAGTGTACTAATATTCGTATTTTTAATACTAGTATTACAAAAAAGTTTCTGTCATTTTTTAAATCGGCATATTAATGCAAATCACATTATTTGATACCTATTCTCATTTAAAAGTCTTTCTCATTTTTCATATAATATACATTTCTTGAAAGGAATTCCAAATTTTTCATCCATTGTTATTAAATACATATGAGAATTTTTAACAATGACCCATCATATTTGCAATATTGGTTTTATTTTACTTTACTTTTTGATATATTAAGTAGAGAAACATACGAAACATATATTATATAAGAAATCTTCGAAGATATCATAAATTTATTTGAATACTAGACAGTCTCATTTAAAGATAAATTCTAGTTATTATAGAATATTCAACAAAATATAATTTATTCACTCACATTTTATATTAAATGTGATGTTTATGTACTCGTTACGGCTTAATTTATATTTCTATTTTTTTAATTATAAGCGAAGAAACACTTGAAAACGCTATGAATTATCAACTGCCATTCTTTATAAGTTAAAGATAATAAATTCCGGATCGACTGAGAAATGTAAACACTCCGTGATATTTAAAAAGTTGCCATAAATTAGAGATAAAAGATATTATTTATAAAGATAATTATCATAATGTAAATTTTAAAGCGTCCCGAGTACTCACGGACAGTGTTGTTGCAACCAGATAGTCGCAATATTTTGTGTCGAGTAATACAATGTCTCAACAATATTGAATTTCAATAGTAGTATTGTGTCTCAATAATACAGAACTATAATCTGCTCCACACATCAAGCTAAAGTATAAGTAAGTATAAGTAGGATTGTATTTCGTATACGTTTACCGACAACTATATAATATTTTCTATTTTTGTTATAACTTGAAAAATTCTGTTCTCCATACTGTAAACTAATTTTTCTAATATTGAAGTATCAATTTTCTTTCAAACATTTCTTACTGCATTTTCTAGCTCTCTAACAGTGCTGTATTGTTTGGAATTGACGTAAATGTTTCTAGCTAATATTCTCCATGGATTTTCTATAGGATTTAAATCCGGGAAATACAATGGTCATTTCATAAGTGGTATTTTATTTGTTGAAACACGAAATTTTCTATATTTATTTCATCAATGTAAGGAATTAAAATATCCTGCAACATTTCTGTATATTTTTTTGCATTCATTTTGGATGAAATTTTGCAAATTTTTGTATTGCGTGTTATGCAGTTATTTTATGACATGATTATATATATATATATATATATATATATATATATATATATATATATATATATATATACAGGGTGTTCAAAAAGTCCCGGACCGGTGAAATATCTCGAAAACTAAGCATTTTAGAAAAAAATGTTTCAGATAAAAGTTGTGGCGTTTAAAAAGATGTATTTACTGATCACATCAGTTTGACCTTGGGTTGCGTAGCGAAGGTCAGGTCAAGGTCACATTAATTTTTTTAAATGGAACACCCCATTTTTCATTGCATATTC